TATTATTATATTATTATGCTAATAACTTAATTTTATATTTTTGTTAGAATGAAGATCTGCAATATTCTAATATTTTATTTTGATTGTTTTTCATTTTACATGTTATGAAAAAAATAAAATAAACTAACTAAGGGCATGTTCAGCAAAATTAGTTGATATCAGATAGTTTGTAGCGTATTGTTAAACGCCACATGAAATAGAATTTAGATTTTGAGTTTTTTGTTTAAACTAAACGCAAGAAACTTATAGTGTCGAACGAAAATTTCTGTTCAAAACGAAGCGTTTTATCAAACGCTAGAAGCTAGAAGTTCTCAAACGCTTTCAGACGCTCCGTGCCAAATACGCCCTAATTTATTAGAGCTTATCTGAATCAATACATCTACATATTGGCAAATATATGATAAATTAATATCTTGGAAATCCGAAAAAAAAATGTAAAACATTTAATGGCGTGTTAAGCATGAAGCTTTTGTTTTTGTTTTTACAAATATAATTTGAAAAGAAAAACCGTTTCATAATAGGAGCTTTTAGTTTTTATTTTAAATAAAAAAAAAACTGATAATCGAAAAAATACTTCTAAGTAGTTTTTGGAAACTTTTATTTGTTAGGATACTTTAGTTTTTGTTATTAAAAAAAAAAAAAAAAAAAAACCTCATAATCGATAAAAATACTTCAAGTAGTCTTTAGAAACTTTTATTTATTAGGATATTTAAGCTTTTAGCTTTTATTTGATTTTACAACTTTAAAAGCTAATAATTATTTTTTATTGAACACTTAATAAGAATTATAATTTTCATCTACCAACTACCAACAAGTTTGCCAAACAAACACGTTTTAAAATCTGTTGATGATTTTAATGTTATCAACATATTATAGTAGTTATTATTAGTATTGAGATAGACTATGTTTTATTTACTCACCGAGATTGGAGGTGCATGATGCACACTTGAGGTGATAAATATAAACTCATGAATACGATTGTCCTAGGGTCAGCACCCTTAGGTACAAGGTTCCAAGGGCCAACGCATATGGATCCATTAGCAACTTTCGGAAACCTAAACAGATTTACAATGTTTTTTATGTAACTAACTTCTAACTGTCATCTTCCTTGCATATAAGGAATTGATGTTCTAGAAAATGGTTTAACACTTTTAATCTCCATTGATCATTTGTTTCCATCTGTCTCATAAAAAACTCAAAACAATAAAGTTACTTTTATGTGTTTCAGATTTAGAAGTGATTAACTTTTAAATTATCATTATTGGATTATCCCAACTTTGGTTTTGCATAGGTTTGAAATCACAAATTTTAAAAAATTATTGCAATCACGATTCTTAGACCCATAATCTAACAAAACTCATAATAAACAATCTTTGTTCTTCTAACCATTGTCTCTTATTTTCTAAAAAGTTTATCAAAATCTCAATTCACACTAAATAATTATATGACCGCTAGCTCTATTTATAGTAAGAGAACCTTTGTTAAACTCTTAAGAGAGAGAAAAAAATGAATTCTTTATCTTACTTTAATAGATAAAACTATTTTTGTCACTTATCATTCTCTTATACGTTATGATACATATTATTTTGTGGTAATTTTAGATTAAATTACATCAATATGTTATTTTATGGTTTTTTTTTCATTTTATTAAATTTTATATGATATTTAAATATAATAATAAATGCATATCAAATTCATTAGAGTAAATTACACGAATGGTTCCTATGGTTTGGGGTAATTTGAGAGCTTGGTCCCTAACTTATTTTTTTTAACTTGAAAGGTCATTACTATTTGTTTTTATTATGCGTTTGGTCCCTGCTATTTGTTTTTGTTACGCATTTGTTCCCTGTTTTACCTGAAGAAAAAAAAAACTATTATTTAAATAGTAATGTGAGGGGGTGAGGTTGGGGTGTGTTTATTTATATAAGTTAAAAAATCAATGGTAAAATAGTTTTTTTAGGTAAAACGGAGACCAAACACGTAACAAAAACAAACATTAGGGATCTTCCGAGTAAAAAAATAAGTTAGGGACCAAAAGTGTAAATTACCTTAAACCACAGGGACCATTCGTGTAACTTACTCAATTCATTAATATAACTTTCCTAATAGTTTCTGAATTTCAAAATTGAATTCAATTATTTTAAATGTTTATTTATTTAAATTTAAATAAGAACTAAACATTTTAAATTTCATAATTAAATATATTTTTTTCTTATAAATTCAAAGATAAAACTGCAAAATTGGTCAGTGTGGTTTTCAAAAAACTGTAGATAAGATCCAAAAGATTTCCAACTTGCATGAAAGATCCAAAATTAAGATTTTCATGATTTTAGTCTCTAGTTCACTTGAAATGTCAACTTTGCCCTTTTCATTTCTTTTTTCCATTTTATTTATTTATTTTAGTATTTAAATAATTAGAAAAAGAAACAAAAAGTAAAATTAAGCCCTATCCCACCCTCTCCATCGATACACCTTCTCCTCCTCCTCCTCCTCTCTCTCTCTCTCTCTCTCTCTCTCTCTTCTGATCATTTTCTTCATTATTATTTTCCTCCAAACCAAACCATATACATAAATACATTAAAAAACTAAAAAATATACATAGTTGATGATTCAATACATGAACTCAAAGACACACACACATACACACAAATACAACGCCTGAAAATTAGGAATATATACTCAGTTGACTTGTGTGGTACTAGAACACAATGTTTGGTGGTTTTCAACACTAGAGAACATAACCTACCCGTTGATAACTCATCAAAAGTCGAGCACCACCGAACAACCTGATCTTTTCTTCCTTCTCCCGTCACCGTTGAATCACCCCACCTAGAATCTATTATCTAGTTCGAAATTTGGAATTTACAAACTCACCTTTTTTTCTCTATTACACATACTTCGACTTTCTTTTTCTTTTGATCTAATGCGAACTTCTCAGTTCTATATACAAATTAGAGTTTCACTGAACCTGACCGACTTCTCTAGAAAGATGATAAATAGATCAAAGTTTAATTTGACCTCCTGAGGGGAAAATGAGATTCATCTGAGCTGTATTAGGAAATCCATAGTGGGGTTCAATCATCAGGAGGTTGGGCAAAATGACGGGAGGATGCCAACAATGGGTTTGGAAGGTAGATTCTCGAAGATGAAATGTCAGAAAATATGTAGATGTCTGACAATGGGTTTCTACCATCGAGGTTTTGTGATGGTAGGTTTTAAGCTTCAAGACATGAATCACGTGGTTCAAGAAGGAGATAGGGAATAGTGGCAATGAGAAGTAAGATACTTACGGCGATGAGTGTCAGCAAGAAATCTAGGCGGCCGACGATGACATTAGGGCTTCTCGATAGGAAAAATGGGTAAGAATGGAGAGTAACTGAAGCCCACGACTTTTTGATGAGAGATAGATAGATAGATAGATAGATAGATAGATAGAGATATATATATAGAGAGAGAGAGAAGAAAGAGAGAGAGAGAGAGAGAGAAAGAAAGAAAGAAAGAGAGAACAAGAAATATAGGATGAGTTGGGGTGTTGTAGGGCTCATTTCTTTTTATTCTTTTTTTAATTATAAAACAATTAAAATAAATAAAGAAAATTTAAAAAAGAAATTAAAAGACATAAAAGTCATTTCAAGTCTTTCAGGGAGTAAAACCGCAGAAAGTTTCTAATTTTGGACCTTCCATGCAAGTTGAAATTTTTTAGATTCTATCCACAATTTTTTGAAAACCACATGGACCAATTTTGCAATTTTATCAAATTCGAACTTTCTAAAATTTTAGATCTTCAAATTTATTTTTGAATAAACTAAAATTTGGTCCTTTTGGTTTGTCAAAAAATATAGATGATGTCCAAAAAGTTTTCGATTTAACCCACTGGTCAAAAGTTGAATATTTTTTGTGGTTTTGATCCCTAAGGGAGGAGGGAGTCCTCCCCTCGCAACCCTCTCAACCCACTGACACATCAGAATTTCTATATCCTCTCTCTTCTATCTTTCTCAACGCACAAGACATGAAAATCATATCTTTCCCAACCCATTCAACCTAGTTAATTTTTTATTTTAAAATAAACACAAACTAATAAAAATTATACAAAACTAATTTACATAATATTAAAAATATATAAAATAATTTAAAAACTAATTAAATAATATAAAAAATTGATTTGGTAAAAGTTTTAATACATAATGTACAAGTGATTATTACATGAGTTGAAAATGATATATACGGGTTAATGAAGCCGCATATATAACCCACTCAACCCAAAATATTCAAACCGCTCAAGAAGGTGTCCTAACTTGGAGGTACCGCCGGTACCTCCCTTAAAATATTCATGATACCCTCCTCCCTAATAAATTCAAAATAACTTTAAGAGACTATAATACCCTTTTAATTTCTCTTTTAAATTTTTGAATGTTCACTTTAATATTTTTATAACCAAAAAATAAAAATAAAAATAAAAATCTCACCCACCCCTCCTGTCGTTCACTCACTCACGCACACACATACACACACTCTCTCTCTTTCTCTCCTTCCCTCTCTCTCTCTTTCTCTCCCTCCCTCTCTCTCTGGCTCTCCCTCTTTCTCTCTTTCCACAGTATTAAGTTAGAACCATATGGAGATATGGGTTTTCTGAATATATTTTGTTCAACACACTCAATGATGAGCATACATAGAGAATCCATGTGGAAAAGCTCAAAAACCCAAAAATTATTGATGGAAAACCTAGATAAGCGATCCAGATGCAAAACCAAAAATCGACTCAGATGTAGAAACTGATAAAGAAAAATCTTGAAACCGGTGGTGAAAAACACAAAATAAAGAACATGTACACATGTGAATCTCGATCCAGATGTGAGTACTTCAACAAAATCCTTGTGATGATGGGAGAAGAAAGGAAATATCTGAAAATTGATGGGATGTGGGTTTCTGGAAATCGAGTTCTAGGTTTTTTTTTATAGGGTTGGGGTTTTCTAGATCTCTAAGTTACGTCGTCCCCACCCATGAACACCGTGAATGTGCCTCCGTTTGGTGACCTTCATCAGTTACCACTCTGGGTATTCAATTTCCTAGATCTACCTTCATCATCAGCAAACACTCATGAACTGCATCTGACTCCTTCAACTTCTAGGGTGTCACAACCCTCCGTTTATCAAGTGGAATGGGAACGACGGAGAGATGGGTGTACGATGAGTGGGTGAGAATACAGGTGTTTGTCAATTTTATATCAGTTTTAAACCCAACCTCATCATCTTCAATTAATGTATTTTACATTTAATTATGATAATATTACACATAATTAATATTTATCATCATTAATTATGATAATATTTCTTATAATTAATATTTCAATTAATGTTTTTTATATATGTCTTCAGAACACATATTAGAAAATCCTAATAAAATATTATATAATCATAGAATATAAATAACTAAACCTTAAATTTTAATTCCAAATAACGCAATTCCTCTTAACGTAAAAATTCTCTAAACCAAGTCCTAAAAATTTGCCAGTTTTCGGCCTCGTTTGATCATGTTGCTTACAAATCATACTAAAATATAATATATTATAATATTATTCATTTGAAAAAATAATACTGTAATACTTATGTCATTGTCTTTAACACAGTGCAAACCATTAATGTGATATAACTATTATTACAATAATACCAGATAATATTAACTTGAAAAATATCTGAAAAAACACTTAATATACATTCCAAACCATCAACTAACAAATCAACATACACGGCCAAAACGAGTATCTCAATTTGGGTTTTGAAATTAATTTAAAACTCAAAATTGTAGAACTAATTTAAATATTGGAGACTTTTTTATGTTGTTGGATATATGAGGTTATTTAAGTGATGAACAATTATGATTGGTAAAAACTATATAAAAAACACATAGTTACGAATTTCTTTATCTCAATTTTGAACTTTAATCCCATTTCGTAAACACCTTTTACACAATAATATATTTTTATATATTACTTATTTAAATAATTAAAAAAATTTAACACATAAACAACATATGAACAAATTATCTTACTAATATAATATCAAGCAGTAATATGTATAGACATCTCATGAATATTCTTTATCAAAAATAATCTATGAATAACAGCTTATACCTATTTTTTTTTTCTAACACAATTCAATTTCAACTAAAAAATTATAATAACTGATTTACATATAATAAAATAGAATGTAATTTTTAGTCAGCCACATATGTTACATATGTAAATGTTTTAAGGAACATAAATAAACACAAAAATTTATATAAAAAAGTCCAACTAAGGTTTGTTTGGCAGTCTATAAATAGAGGCGCCCCCACTTTATCGTCACACAAACGTGTGTGGCCTGATATCTCTCTCCTCTTAATCAGCAGCAGATTTTGCTTCAACACGCTTATAATCGTCACACCATTAACAAGGTTTATGGCTACTCCATTATCAACCAAATCATCATCAGAGTTCATGGATTCGATAGTTTTTAACTTTTTATATATACTCCGATCATCGATTGTTTAGATTTATGTCCCACCTTCTTTGAATTAATTGGCCGATCATTCATTGATCCAGATATGATCTAATCACAAACATGTGTTTATGAATCTGATCCGATTCATAGATGTATAATCAGCAGCTTTTACATGTTAGCGATAGAATTTGCTTCTTTTTTTTTTTTTTCTTACTGGATTTCGTGAAATTTTCAGGTTGTAGAAGACATGGCAACTAATGGTTATACATGTGAAGACGCCATTGATGGATTGAAGAAGCTTTTGGGGTAACCGTGTTTTTTTTTTGTTTTTTAGTATACGACTGATCAATTCTCTGATGATTACCGTTGGCCGGCTGTTTTCACACTTTTAAACAAATGGATCAGAGTTGTCCTCTTTAGAATTTTAGCATTATTAATTCGATGAAATGCTTTGATTTTCTCACCATACAATTGACTAATACAGCTGCCGTCAGCCGGCCGTCATCAGGCGGGTCCCGTAGTTTATTACAATTCTATTTTTTTCTCCGGCGTATTTACCGGCAATGCTAACGCCGTAAAATTTAACGGTTTTGCAGTGAGAAAGGTGAGCTTCAAGCCGTTGCCGCCGCTAAGATCAAACAGTTGACGGCGGAGTTGGAGGCAGCAGGTGGCGACGAATTTAATCCGGTGGAGAGGATCAAGGACGGATTCGCTCGGTTTAAGAAAGAGAAATACGAGTACGTCCGTCTGTACAGCCTTTTGGATTTACTCAAATCATTTCTGCTCATTTTTATGTAGTGGGATATAACCATTCTGCCATATTTATTGTTTCCATTTTGTCATTTTCGTTGAAAAGCTTTAAAAATTCATTAATTTATCCTATAAAATGGGAAGAAGCAGATTATATATTATACCATTAAAAATCACGAATTATTGTTCATATTTTATACAAATCATCATCCACTTACCTTTTCTTTTGTTAGAAAAATATTTGAATCTTTCGTGATAAAGCTCCAAATTCTTTAGATAATTAGATGATTGACCCACCAGCCGACACTATTATTTCTCCTTTAGGCATTACTTGACTTTAAACAAGAAAAAAAAAAAAAAAAAACTCAACTCTGGTGATATTATTTTACTATTTTGCATTATTTTTATGAGTTGAATTATCTCACACTTCATGTTTCATGCACTATCTAACTGTTTCCTCATGTTTTCTTCTTCCAGAACAAATCCCGCTTTGTATGGTGAGCTTGCCAAAGGGCAGAGCCCAAAGGTAATTTCACACTAAACCGACCAATAAATGATTTCATTTTACATTAATTACATTTACACTTGAATCTCCTTTAAATTCTTTATATGTAACATAAACATAATTCATGTTCTGATTTGGGTTTTTTGTTTGAACTATGATAAAGTTCTTGGTATTTGCATGCTCGGATTCTAGAGTTTGCCCATCACACATCCTAGACTTCCAACCAGGCGAAGCATTTGTTGTCAGAAACATTGCTAACATGGTTCCCCCTTATGACACGGTGATCCTTCAAACTCAATAATTAATTAATTAATTAATTGATTTCAACATTTAGAAAATCGAGAAATTTTATAAGCGTTTTCTATTCATCTAAGTAAGACTAAATGAAGTCAAACCCATAAGCATCTTTCAAAGCATAATTGCTAACATGTTGTCTAAGCTGGCACATGGTTTTCGGTTATATATTGAAACAAAAATATCTATCTACTCTAGTTATATCAATTTACATTTGTTTTTATAGTATAAATCAAATTAACTAACATAAACTATTATAAAATTTATGTTGGTTAGCGTTATTTATTAAATGAAATTCTTGGTTCTTTCGTTATCTTGTTATTCGATATTTGGATGTGGTTGCTTTCAATGATAGTGGATATGTGGTTCAAATAATTGATGGATTAATTATTGCTTAGTTGACTACTTGACTTATTAAAATCATTATCTGGTACAGGTTAAACACTCCGGTGTAGGAGCGGCCGTCGAATATGCAGTGGTGCATCTAAAGGTGAAAATTGAAACTTTGTTTTTTTTTTAAACAATAAATCTAATCTACTGTTAATTATTTTTAATTTCATAAACCTTCAAAGAAAAAAAACTAACACCTGATATCGTTGGATTGAAAACCTTTTGATAACATACAATATTAATTTGAGAAAAGTCTATATGTTTAACATTTTATTAAAAAAGTCGTTTTTTTCTAGAAAAGTTATTACATTTAATAATGTTTAAAAAAACACCATTCTTCAACTATTATAGCCTATTAATAGGTCATCATTAAATGTAGAATATAATTATGTCAATAAAATCACTAAGTTGTGTATCTATTTTCCGAAAAATATAATAAATTATGTTTACATTTAACGGTGACATTCTAATCGGTTATAGCAGTTAAATAATATTTTTTTCTCAAAACATTTACAAATATCAATGGTTTTTCTTAATACATAAACAAAGTAATGACTTTTCAGATAAAATTTTGTTAATATATGAACTTTTCTTTTTTCAAAAATGGAAATTATTTGTTTTCTTAAAGAAAAAAAAAAAAAACTAGCTTATTTTTAATTCTAGAAAGTGAGAAAAAGAGCATTAAATATGATAGGAAAATGTGGTGTGAGTTATGGACCCTATGTACCATACCGGACTTTATTCTATTTAGTGGTACTTGGTTTTCTCCTTTTGTAAAAGGAAGCAATCTGCGGTGGTAAATGTCTAAATGTGTTGGGAGTGGATGCAATTTGACCAACTCAACTCTTACTTTGTATTGCATCTTTTGTGTCCCATATCTCTATCTACCCTTGGAATATGCCCTTCATACGGTTTAACAATATATGCCCTTTTGTCAAAAAGAACTTATTTGATTAAAGAGTATCTAGATTCTAGATTATTGATCATGTCTCATTTCTCATGCTCATTGCCTATAAAATTGGAGGTCAAAGCATCTTACAATTAAAATTTCGACAATCATTTAAGGTTTTAACTTATTTAACTAACTCTAAACTTATTTTTTAATATAAAATGACTCCACCTATATTACTCCGTTTATTCAATCTTAAGGTCAACGTGTTTATCAAACATATCATGTTAAAAAGATTTGATTGTGTTGAAAATCTCATTATTTAAAAGAAGGCCTACCTTGGAAACCTTTCAACCCAACTTATCATGATCACATTTCAAAATTTTGGATATCGTTCATTTCATTCTCATGTCTCCCACATGTAATAAAGTCGTTACATGTGTCCTCGGTTAGCAATTTCAACTCGTTCATAAAATTGGTATTAAATTATATTTGATCTAAAGTGTAAATGTTAATTAAAAAGAAAACATACATTGAATGGGTAAAGACGACTGAATCAAGTCATGTAACATGCATTTAAATGAATATAACTTTTTTTAAATTAATTTACTCCAAACTGAAAGTTTATTATTTTAATGATATATTTTTATTATAAAAACAATAATCCTTTAAAATCTGATTAATTAGACCAAAAAGGATAGATTAAATTCCTTTTTTTCCTTCACGACTTCACGGAAGTTTAGCATTTCCTTTTTACTTATCTAAAAATAAAAAGAAAGTAGAAAGTTTGCGTTAAAAAACGGTGGCGTACGATACTCAATCGAGCGAGGTGGTGGCCCACTTCTTTTACTTATATCCTTTTTCTTTCTTTTCTAATCTGTCATGGACCAATTACTTAATCAAATGTATTAGACTATTAGTATTTATTTACTCATATCCTATCAACTGGGAGAGGGATAATAATAAAATATTCAATTAGTTTAGTTTTTATATATAACGTATTGACAATATTACCCTTACGCTGTTGATGTTGTACCTTCAGGTTGAGAATATTGTAGTCATTGGACACAGCTGTTGTGGTGGGATCAAAGGGCTCATGTCCATTCCTGAGGATGGAACCACTGCCACGTAAGTCGCCACTTTCTCATTCAACGTTGATAACTATCATGTTTTCGTAATAAAATAACAATTATTTTTATTTTTATTTGCATATTGAATGAACAGTGATTTCATAGAGCAATGGGTGAAAATCGGTTTACCAGCAAAGAGCAAGGTGAAAACAGATTGCACTGATTTGGATTTTCTTGATCAATGTACCAACTGTGAGAAGGTATGTATGTTCATTTTTCACACCAACTTAAATTCATAATATATATATTTTTTATTAGTTAAAAATGAAAATGAAATATTACAGGAGGCTGTGAATGTATCTTTGGCGAACCTTTTAACATATCCTTTTGTGAAAGAAGCTGTGGTGAAAAAGCAGCTTTCATTAAGAGGAGGACACTATGATTTTGTGAGAGGAGGTTTTAGTCTTTGGAATCTTGATTTTGGCATTACATCCGCTCTATTTTAATGACTTTTAACTACTACTACTACATGTTTTCAATAACTAGACTCAAAAGAGTCTTTCTTGCCTTGTCTTGTATTGATATTTGTAAATTTTGTTGTGCTTCTGTTTTCTGTTTGTTTGTATTTGTGTTTTTAACTTTTCTTTTTTGAATAACGTTGTTTTATATGTAATGTTCTGTTCTTATCGGAACATTTTATTGTCATACATGTATTTATCATGATTAATACAAATATTTGTACGCCTTTCCTTTAGTACATGCTGCTATCTCTTTCTTCTTCTTCATATTATATTTCTCTTTAATCTTGTTTCTTACACTTACACATAACAAGCTGTATCGTCTTTGTTGTATAGAACCTTCAACCGAGGACCTGAAAAAGCTATAAATTTATTTTATTACAAAAAGTTGTTTCACTGGTTATTAATTTGATAGAGACTTTAATGAAAAAGAAAAATAATAATAATATAATATGTTTTCTTAAAATGTCAAAGTTTAAGAAATTTCTTAACATATGTCTCTTTGTAAAACATGCAATCAATCTAAACATGTGCGTTAAAAATAACTCCATGATCATCTGGTTATTTTTCTATTCAGATTTTGTTCTCCACTTACTCAATAATAAAATACAGCTTATTCAAATTTTCTATAACATGTAACGTCTTAATTTTGAAGTATATTCTCTATTTTAAATTTATTTTTATGCCTATATTAATCATTGATAAAAAAAATTAATATAACTAGATATTATTTTGTAAAAATTACACAATCCAGGAAGCCGGGAAGGCATGAACTATTTGCTGTTGCCTGTTGGGTTATTTCATTTTTTTAGGCCTATTAATCTAAACTGCTCAGCCAACGGAAGAAGTTAAGTTTGATTTGATGTAATAAACTAATAATCATAAATGGGCTCTTAATTTATATAGATTGGCCAAACAAGAATGAACACAATATTACCATTAATTAGTAATTTTTCAAATGATATTACTATTTTTTCATATTGGAATAAAACATAAACACTATATGTAATGTAAAAACTAAACGATTCATAAGAAACACAATGATTCATAAACCTCTACTTCAATGGCTTAAGTTATTCATGTATTTTTGGATACTTTCTTTAAGGGAAATGACATTGCAACCCTACAATGTTTTCGAAATTGCTCTAATCAGTCCCTAAACTTATTTTATGGCTTTACGGGGGCATAAAGTGAGTCATGACATATCATTTTAGTCCTTTTAACCTAAATTAACCAGTAGAAGTGTCACATGTATATGCTACTACTAATGATTAGACAAATGTGGTGGATCTTGGATCATCGTCATGTATATGATGAATCAAACTCTAATTGTTCAATATAAACATATGATCTGTGGGTTATTTTTTGATTAGTTTGTGAAAGATAGAGGAGTGTGGATGATCGTCTTGTTGATGTTATGATCAAATATGAAGATGATGCCTTGGGTACTGTAAACTAACAAATGAAATACATATAACGGCTAGGGTTTCATATTATTATCAAAGAGAAGTACAAATACAATGAAAAGGAAAGACATAATATATAGACAAACTAATTAGGGTTTCCTAGCGGAAAGGCCCAATCATAAAACCCAATACAAAATAAAGCCCAAAATATTATTAGGTTAACATCCCCCTTCAAACTCACAATGCAACAACAATAAGCATTGAGAGTTTGTCAGACAGAAAATGGAATCGAGGAGCAGTCAACGGCTTCGTAAGAATATCAGCAATCTGCAAAGAGGAAGGAACATAAGGAAGGGAGATAGTGCCCTTCTGGAGATGATGACGTGTGAAATGACAGTCAATCTCAATGTGCTTTGTGCGCTCATGAAACACTGAGTTCTTGGCAATCATTATCGCACTCTCGTTATCACAATACAAAGGGGTAGGCTGAGAGATGTGAACGCCCATATCTGTAAGAAGCCATCTCAACCAAACAATCTCACAAGTGGCGATAGCCATGGCTCGATACTCAGATTCTGTAGAAGATAGAGAAACAACATCTTGTTTCTTGCTTTTCCATGATATCAATGAATCTCCAAGAAAAACACAATACCCAGTAGTGGACTTACGGTCATAAATATCACTATCCCAATTTGCATCACTATAGGCACGCAACTCAAGAGAGGATGAAGAAGGAAACATAAGAGTGCGGAACTGAGTACCACGTAAATATCTCAAAATACGAAGAACAGCTCCCCAATGAACAGTAGTAGGAGCAGTGACAAACTGGCTAACCACATGAACTGCATAAGCAATATCCGGTCTAGTGACAGTCAGGTAAACCAAACTCCCAACAATGGTACGATAAAGACTTGGATCTGATAATGGGACACCATCAGTTGGAGAGTACTTTGCATTACTCTCTATAGGCGTATCAACTGTTCGATTATCCGTGAGTCGTGCACGTTCAAACAAATCTGAAATATACTTCGTTTGAGATAAAAGATAACCCTTTGGAGATTGAGCAACTTCAATCCTCAAGAAATAACGAAGTAATCCCAAGTCTTTCATAGCAAAACGGTCAGCCAAATCACGCTTTAAAGACTCTATACCATCATGATCATCACCAGTAATAATCATGTCATCGACATACAAGGAAAGAATAATCCGCCCTGCATTCGTACATCGAATAAATAGAGCCGAATCATGGTTACTTGGTTGAAAACCAAGAGAAGTAATCACCGTAGAAAATTTCTCAAACCAAGAATGAGGGGCTTGTTTGAGGCCATATAGAGCCTTCCGAAGTCGACAAACTTCACCTGGTCGGTGAGCAATACCGGGGGGAGGAGACATGTATACTTCTTCATGAAGATCACCATTCAAGAAAGCATTCTTGTTCAGTCACATGATGCAACCCGAGAGGAGCTCTGATACCATGTAAACTAACAAATGAAATACATGGTATCAGAGCTCGGTTGATTATCTGTAGTTTTTCGTTTTTTTTGGGGGCGAGTACTGTTCATCGACACTGTTCATCGGGGGGGCGAGTACTGTTCATCGATTACTGTTCACCGGAGCACTGTTCATCGATAATGTTCATCACGCGGTTACTGTTCACCGGAGTTACTGTTCATCGACATCGCGCGGTTACTGTTCACAGGAGTTACTGTTCATTGATACTGTTCATCGACATTGTTCATCGCGCGGTTACTGTTCATCGACACTGTTCACCGCCGAGTACTGTTCACGATTACTATTCATCAACATTATTCACGTGTATTGTTCATTGTCACCATTTGCAATTTTGGGGTATGCCTTTTTTGCTCGTTTCTGTATTTGGTTTGGTTTGATTTGTTCGTTTATCGGTTTTGAGGGTTTCGTTTTCGTCTAGCTTTGTTGATTTCGAGATCTTGATCATTTTTTACTACTACTCGTATTTACTATTTGATTGATATTGAAATATGGCCCCAAGAGATGATTCTCTTCAGTCCATTAGTATTCAACTTGATGGCAAAAACTATGCCTATTGGAGTTATGTTATGAAAAATTTCTTGCGGGGCAAGACTATGTGGGGGATTGTTACAGGTGACAAGAAGAAACCAACAGACGAGAAGGCCGCTAATTATGAAACCTTATTGGATTCATGGGAGACTGATAACTCCAAGATCATTACTTGGATTAATAATTCTGTCATCCAGTCTATTGGTACTCAGTTGGCGAAGTATGACACGGCAAAGGAGGTTTGGAATCACTTGGCTAGGTTGTATACTCAGTCTAACTTTGCAAAGCAGTATCAGTTAGAGTTTGATATTCGAGCCCTCCAACAGAACAATCTTAGTGTTCAGGAATTTTATGCAGCTATGTCGGATTTGTGGGATCAGTTAGCTCTTACAGAACCTGATGTGTTGAAGGCTTTTAAGCCTTATATTGATAGAAAGGAAGAGCAACGTTTGGTTCAGTTCTTGATGGCATTACGTTTAGATTTTGAATGTCTGCGTGGATCAATCTTGCATCGTACACCTCTTCCCACTGTTGATTCGGTTGTTCACAAGTTGATTGCTAAAGAAACTCGTATCAAGTCCCATGCTGACAAAGCTCCCAAGATAGCCACTCGTGCTGTCTTTGCTGTTTCACAACGACCCCAATCTTCAAACCAAAATCGTCCCAGAGTTGCATTTGATGAGTGTGCTTTCTGTAAGAAGAAAAACCATTGGAAGGCAAATTGTCCTTTACTGACAAGCAAGAGAAATCAACAACAACAACAAACAAGATCACCAGCATACTCTCAGTCTTCACAGCAGAACAAGTCTTCTTGACAGTCACGTCCCTCTTTTTCATCTTTTAGGCCAGCACAATACGCTGCTGCTACACCTTCAGTTGAGAATGAAACAGATTTCACACCACCATCAGCCTTGGATCCACAGATTGTTGAGCAGTTCAGACAGTTCTTAGCTACCAATCCAACTGCCATGTCAGCTTCCATGTCTCATTCAGGTCTGTCTTCATCCAACACGTCAGGTATTCCTTCATCCTTGTGGATATTGGATTCTGGTGCATCTCATCACATGTCACCACATTTTTCATCTTTTGCTTCATTATCTTCTCGTACACCTGTCTCTGTTATGTCTGCTAGTGCTACACCCATGTCAGTAGAGGGTGTTGGTTCTATTGTCACTCCTTATATATCTTTAACAGATGTGTATTACATTCCTACACTTGCGTTAATCTTGCATCGGTCAGTCAGTTGTGTAAATCTGGTTGTTGGGTCTTCTTTTCTGATTCATTCTGCTGTGTACAGGACATTCGGTCTCGGAGGGTGATTGGGATAGGCCGTAGACTTGGGGAGCTTTATGTCTTGGAGCAGCTACATGTTGTTGATGTTGCTGCATCTAGTGTCGATTTGTCGTCTTTTCGTTTAAACCCTTCATCGTCTCCTTTTTATCTTTGGCATTCTCGTTTGGGACATGTTTCAGAGTCTCGTTTACAGTTTTTGGTTTCCACTGGTGTGTTAGGCTCTTTGAAATTTGATGATATTTCTGATTGTTGTGGTTGTAAACTAGGAAAATTTTCTGCTTTACCCTTTAATAAAAGTGTCACTCGTTCTATTGCTCCCTTTGATATTGTGCATTCTGATGTGTGGGGTCCCTCTCCAATAACCTCCAAGTCAGGAGCTAACTATTATGTTTCATTCATTGATGATTACACTCGTTATACGTGGGTTTATTTTATGAAGCGCAGGTCTGACTTTTTCACCATATATAGTGAATTCAGAGCTCTTGTCAAGACTCAACACTCTGCTGTCATAAAATGTTTTCGGTGTGATC